ACGAGCGCGTCGCCGCGGGGGAGCCCGCCCCAACAATCGCCTCTCGGTTGGGACTTTCCACAAGTCGTTAAACGCGGCGATGCGCTCGCTCGTCGCACGCCAAGTCGACTTTTCGGCCTTTCTTTGTGAAAGCGGACGGACGGAGTCTTTGGCTTGGGATCAATTCGAGCATCGGCGCGCAGTCGGGGCCGGCGAGGCCCAAAAGGCAATCGCATGCAAAAACTGACACGCTCGCGCTTCAGCTCAAATTATTCTTGACGTCATTGTCGTACTCGAGGACGACCATCGTCTCCGATTTCGGTCGTCTTGCGTGACGGCAAATCCATGAACTTTGGCCGCAATCCAAAGGAAGGATTTGCAAACCTCTTTGGAAATCGCCGAGCAACGTTTTTGCTACTTTTCCGACACGTCATCGACCGAACCGGTGACTGGATTATCGTCGTTATCGTCGTGTCTTCATTTTTTTTTTTTTTTCTGCGCTGTCACTTTAAAATCATGTCCCGTTTTTGAACGAGGAGTAGAAATTCCCCAAAGTTTCTCGGGCGTGGTGGTGGAGCGTTTCCGTTCGTAAAAAGGCGAAAGATGATCTGAGGTTTGAGCGTTTGCCGAGGAACCAATGAATCTTGTGCCTTAAGGTGCAAATTCAACTCGTATCTCAAGGCATGAACGAAACTCGTATTTCATGGCAGCGCTTTAAACCGAAATGTAAAAACAATGAAAAATAATGACGTGGCGCGCCGCAGGGGATAGTTGGTCAATCGGAGCGGTCCGACTTCCAGTCTCACGTCGTAAAGTGAAACAATTGCGGCATTTCGGTTCGGTTTTTTCTGCGGGAGTTACTCTGAGAGACAAAAACAAACGAACAAACAAAAACAAAAAACCTTTCAAAGGTCGTTCGTGATCGGAGAGACTGAAGCAAATTCCAGAAGAAAGCCCAAACCTTGTTTGGACTCGTATCAATGTCACAAATGGAATACTTGTCGGCCTCCCGAGATGCAGACTTGCGCGCTGATGACATTTCCCCCACAAAAGCAAACGTTGGCATGTTTGCCGTTTGATCAAACGCGCCAAATGCAAAGCACATGAAGAGCACGACGTGCGTCATGGCCGTCGGCGCCGAGGACGAAGCAAATACAATTCAGTCAGGCAGACGCGGCTGATCCGAAATGCGGTGGGCAGAGCCCTCCCTCCCTTCCCAATCCCACAAAGTGGACCACAAGACGTCACACCTGCCCTCAAATCAGTCAATCAAAAAATGCATCTTTCAGTCTTGCCGCGGCTCCACAAATCTCGAAATGGTCTCAGACCAAAAGATGTACACCAACTCCATCGAGCATCCCGACCCCCTCAGGTTATCGGGGGGGGGGGGGGCAGGTGTCCGGTGGGCTTCCCAGAAATAGACCGAAACAAAGCGGCACAGCATTTGATTGTTCCCCCAAATATGTGAGATCTCCTCAAACGTGCTTTGACAGCAGCGTTGTCATCAATCAAGGCTTTCTTCTCACGTCATCACCATTTGCACGCAGTCTTTTATCCAAACTGTCGTCTGAATCCCATTATTTGCGATGATTTGGTTCTTCTTTCTTTCTTTTTTGTAACATCTTCCTCTTTTGTTTCTCTTTCTCCAATGCTTTCAATATGTTGCGTGAAGCGCTTTGAATCGTCTTGAAACGAGCCTTCCTTCCTGTTGAGTGCGACGTTTGGTCCACACTCGTGACGTTTTGAAATGGCTTCAATGACCTTTTCTCAAATGCTTTTATTGCGGCGGATGTCGCAGTAATACATTGACGCGAAGACGCCGATCACGTCACGTCAACGGTTTCCCGCAATCATTTGGGAGCATAAATATCACGAAGCAACACTTGCGCGACGAGCGTTCGACACGGTCCAAAGAACGTGCCGAGAACTTCGCAATGCGCCGTCGCCGGTGAGCTGTTTTGGGAACGCCGGTGACGCCTCGCACCTCGCAAATGGCCGCACGTGAGCCCAAAATGGCCATTTCAAAGCAAAATGCGGCCCAACCTCGTTACGACGTACGGTCGCGGCGCAGGACGAATCCGCGCGTTATAACGCTTGTTCGTCGTAGCCATTTCCGTTAAAAATGGCCGCCAACTACGATGTGTAATACAGGATGAACATTTCTTTGGCCAAAATGGCCATCTCAAAGCAAAATGCGTCTAAACCTCGTTACGACGTACAGTCGAAGCACAGAACGAATCCGTACATTATAACGCTTGTTCGTCGCAGCCATTACCGTTAAAAATGGCCGCCAACTACGATGTACAATACAGTATGAACATTCGTAGATGTAAAAACATGTCACAGAGCATAAACAAATATGCGTATACAGTATCAAGAAAAAAAGAGATTTTTATTGGACATGAAACACACAACTGCAGCGTTCCTCCCGACTTTGTCTCTGAAAACTTTCAATGAGCGAACGCCAAGTGCCTTCTCCGGTTCAGGATGCGCCGAAGGCGTTTACGATCGTCCTTCGATCCGTTGGCCTCCAACTGTGCCACGATTTTGTCGCCCTTACGGATGATTGTCGAAATCGTCGACTTTGCCGATCGGCAGTCTCGGCTGAGCTTCACCCGGGAGGCTCCCTTTCGAAAGTCACAGACAATTTCAGCCTTCGCAGACAGTCAGCTTTGCTTCCGTTTAGCGGACGTGTTTTCATGACCGTGCGCTCCTGACACGGGGGGGGGGGGGGGCTGTACATTTTGTTCGTAAGCAAGGTCGCGGGAGCGGTTGGCTTGCCACGATTCGTCGTCACGAAGGCCTTTTCGCCATCTTGTCGGAAAAATGCGCTCGTTATAACGACGTGTACGCTGAAAAGGCGTTGGTTGTCAGCAAAACGGGCAAATGGAAAATGAATGCCTTGAAATCGGGACTTTGAAATGCGAGCGGGGTGAAAACGTCAAGCGGGTGCGTCGAAAGGAGCTTCGACCGGATCGGACTTTGTCTCTTTTCGATTTTTGGCCTCTTGCGACTTTTTGTGCGGGTCTACTCATGACAGTTATTTTTCACGACGCTACATCAAAGCCAAGTCGGCGGCTGAGTTTTACTTCTCAAAAAAAACCCCCAACGGCGTCACAAGAGATTGTCTTTGAAGAAGCTCCGGAAATGGCCCACCGCATCACCATGTCATGCTTTCAAACTGAAAGACTTCCTGTGTCTTTTCCAAGCGACGTGGCTTCTTTTTTGTTTTTTGTGGCTCTTCGCATAACAGACACGACGCCAAATTTGATGTTCATTCATCCCTCATCCGAAAGCGCTCGTCGTCACCCGGGTCGCGGGCACGCGTGCTAAGCCGACAAAATTGAATCCAAAACAAATGAGCTCGTGAACGACTTCGGGCGCGGCTTCTCGAGACGTGTCGGAGTCCATCCGCCAAATTGTATTTTGCCAAGTCGAGCTGGCATCAGGAGCCAAATTGAAACGATAAACTTCGACACGCATTGCAGAGTCTTTTTTTTTGTGTTTTGTGGCTCTACCCGCGATAGTCGCGGCTCCCAAATTTCATGCTGCTCAGTCAAACAGGCGGTCTGAATTTCTCGAAATTGGAAGAGGACAGACACCCCGTTGCGCGACGTATAACGCGGTCGCTCCGGAGCCGACAGACTTGGTAAGGATTTGCGTCGGAGCTTCTACGGTAGGCCTTCCGCCGCAGGCCCTGACGGCGACTCTTTCTGGCTTCAAGAGCTCTTAAAGGTCTCGGCGAGTCGGCTCCAGATGTTCACGCCTCTCTCTCGGCGCACGCGCTCCACTCAGGGAAAAATGTTCACACTCGCGTTCATTTGCACCGAAATGCAAAACCCGTTCCGCTCGAACCGAATCAAAATGAAGAGTGTCACCCAAATAACGTTTCCCCCTTCGAGCCCAAAGGAAAGGAAAGGAAAGGCCTCCATGCTGGAGATTCTACTGTTAGCCAAGGAAAGCAGTTGAAATGTCTTCATTTGAAGCGGGCAACTGTGTTTTCTTTTCTTTTGGGTTTTTTTTTTGGGACTCAGAAATAGTTACTGGGAGGTTGGACGACGTCGACGTGACTGACCGAGTTTGTATTTGTCAAGGAAGCAGCGCCTGAAGAAAGACATGAGCATGAAAACAAGAACGAGAGGGAACGTCAGAGGGAAAGAATCAAGATCAAGGACATTTGAAAGGAATCCATGCATTGAAAAGCGGGGGGGGGGGGGTTGGAATCGACAATGGGCGCATTGTTAGCACATCTGCCTCACAGTTCGAGGTTCTGGGTTACAGGCCTGAGAGACAGAGAGAGAAAAAAAATGAGCCATTAAAGATGGAAAAAGAACAACGAAAGGAAGCAAGTCCAGTCAGGGAACGGAGGAGTGAGGCCAAGTCACAAAGGAGGAAATGATTGTCCAAATATTTCAACAAGACAGTGTCACTTAACTCCGAGTCATATTTTGGAGCGCTTTTCTATTTGGCACGGTTGGAATCGATGCCACCGGATGCTTGCAGTTCTTCTTGACTGGCGCGCCTCGACGGTGGCGTCCGCGCTGCAGGAGTACGCCACCTTCTGACCGTATCTGTCCGTGTCGAGAGCCGGTCCGGCGGTCACCTCGGCCCCGTGACCTCTCCGCCGCCGCCGCCGCCACGTTGACGGCGTACGTCCGCGACGGCTCCGAGCCCCCGGCGTGACCTCGCGAGCGCCCCGGCCAATGGGAAGAAGCGTTGAACTCATTGGCCGCCAGACCTTTCCACGCAATATCGTCTACTGTGACTGGATAACTACCGAACCTGCCGACAAAACCAGTAGACCGCAACAACGGTGCGCTCTAAAGCGGGCGATTGCCGACCGGCGTGCCGTGAGAGCTCAAACGGTGCGCCGCGGGAAATGATCGCGTTTCAATTCATTGGTGCGAAAATGATTTTGTCGTCACAAATAATGTGGCTTTGGCCCTCTTTCTGTGCCGGCGACTTTTAGGTGGTGTGCCGTGCGATTTACTTGCGGCGTTACGCTGAAGAAACGTTCTGACCTGTCGGGCACGCGGCGCTCATCCTGCAACTCCTGGTCTGGCTGCGAGACGGGCAGGCGGTCCGGTCGGGGCTCGGCGTGAGGTCGGGGGCGACGCTCTCCCGCGTGCGGGTCTGTTGTCCCAACCTGAGGCCGCAGGGGGCGCCGTTTCGGAGGCAGACGCTCCACGCGCTCCACTCGGTCAGCGGCACGAGGGTGCAGTCATCTGATACGATCGGCGACCGCCCCCGAACCCCGAAAAAAAAAAAAAAAGGCATGAATTGGAAACGGAATTGGCGAGCTGAATTTTGCAAAGAAATGCCAATCTCAAAGGAGGAGGTTGTTGTTGAAGAAAGGCTGAAACG